CATGGCGCACGCGCACCGCACAGCGCACCGCAGAAGTGTGCTGCAAGTACGATTTAAACGCTTGCTAAAGAGTTAAAATTGTTTCATTGTTGGATTGTCGCATGAGTTCTCATTGTCTGCAATAGCACTAAAGCTACTTCGAATTTGGATCTACTCATCTGGGTGGAATAGAGGCTGTTGTGGTGAAATTCAAAACACACACACACACACACACACACACACACACACACACACACACACACACACACACACACACACACACACACACACACACAGCAAACAGCCAACAAACAAAGTGAATTTCTGTGTCCAATAATATCATTAATCCAATAGCATTTCTGCTACGGGCTCTACTATTACAACGGTACACCAGGACCAGGCATAACCAATTAACACTGTATACTGCTCACATTATCCGCGCTGATGCTCCAATTCTACGTCACTGGACTATGGCAAGCAAAACGACCAGGTAACCAGCAAACAAAGATAAAGCAGCAAAGGCAACAAGCAGCAAAAGCAGTGAGGCAACACATAGGCTGGAGGGCAGAGGGTAGGATGGTGGGCAGACAAATGCAAGGAAAATGAGATATAGCGAAATGACAGAAATCCAGAGTGCAAAATCACATTGAAAGCCAGCAAGTCCAAAGGCTGTCCAAAAGCAGTAATGCACTGATATTCCACCAACGAAGAACCAAAGCACTGAATCCGAATGTCAATGAGAGCATACTCTCGACACCACCGGCATATGTATCCAGACTCCAGAGTCCTTCCTACTTGGCGCTCAGCGCCCAATCACACAGCTTACTAGCAGCCTACGAATTGAGAATGCATCCTGTTGACGTCACCAGCCGAACCGAAGTACATGAAGATGTCGATCCTCGTAGACCGTCACCAAAACCAGGTACGCGCCCTCACATCATCAACCGCATCTCTCTCTCTCTCTTTCTCACCCTCGACTTCATCACCCACGTCTTCTCCCTCGTGCACGAAGAACACCACAACCTCCGCTGGCCGTCCAAGCCAAGCCCGGCTATGGATGGGCTCGCTATGGCGCTGCCCTCAGCAGCGTCCTGCTCACACATACCGCACGCGCGCACCTCCCAGCACCTGCGCTAGTGCACAGCCTTGGCCGCGAGCACTTGCTCTAGCAGCACTGCCGCGTTGCCCACTGGTGCCCGAATGTCCAGACCTGCGCCCTGCCCTTTCCTATATGGAAAGAGGCGGGCGCTTGCCTTTTGCCACGCCCACGTGAGACCGAGTTTCCAGTAGCTTCAGTCTCGGCCAAAGTGTCTGCGTCCAGGCCGATTCAGACAGTGGCCTGGGACCGAATTGGTTAGGAATGCCCAACCACCCAGGCGCAAACATGCGATGCTCCCTGCTTCAACCACGTTGCTGGAA